GACGCGATTTGAATTAAAGATCAGTAATTAGCAACGGAAATACACTAGTTAGCAAAAGATCGATATCTAACCTTTAGAAATGCGCTTTCGCAATTACGAAAAAAGATAATTCTATAAAAAGACAAACAAATCGTGTTCGAATTAGCAATTAATCAATCAAAAGGCTATTATCGTTTATCAATTCGATAATCCTGTCAATCAATTCGAGGCAAGGATTTTCGAGTAGGTACAAAAACACTTGAATGGATTCGTAGTAATGTCAGTAATTTTACTGCAGGTCGTTCGTTTTAACGGTAATGACGCGCTTTCAGGGCAATTTTCGGAGAGCTTTAATTTACTTCAGTGGATTCTGAAACCTCGGATGGATTAAATTTGTTTTTCTGGCTTGGAAGGCGAAAGCATATTAGGCGATTAAGGATCGGGGATGATGAATTATCTGTTTCTTTGTTTTGTTGATTTTCGCAGTAAATTCGGGCTTTTATGAAGATAAAAAATCATCATTTGCGCTAGCCGAAGTGGCGAATTTTATTAAAGACACTATTTTTATTGTATAATTCGCCAGTTATACAATGTAAAAGCATATCTATAACACTTACTTTTAGCCGAAAAACATAAAACTTGAATTTCCATTTATAAAATTGTGTACTTTCTATTATCAGTTAAGTGAAATTAAATGTTTCCGCGATTTTTAAAAACTGAAGTGTATTGTTCTTATGAAATTGTATATTTGATTAGTTTTAATTTCTTGAAGTGATTTATAAAGTCAATACGAATAAACAGATTTCCAATACCTACTCTGTGAGCCGTCTCTTTCTTTATCGGTTTGATTTTTATGAACTTCAAATATACCTGAAAATTGCAGGGAAAAACCAAAATTTGTTGATTCGTCTCTTTGAAATAAACAAAGATATGATTTGAAAACATTATTAAATAACTTTTTTATTTTATTAGGTGAACTCTGTAGTTTAATAATTTCATTCTTAATTGTAATGATTTCAACCAAAAAAATTGGTTGAATCATAAAATTTTACTAATTATTTCAGTAAATTAAATTAACGTGTGGGAATTTATAAAACTTTTTTTAAGCTAGATACAACATTGTGTGTGTTGCTTTTTAGAACTAATTTAATTTTGTTTGAGCTTTTCATTAATTGCGTTCTTTTTGATTCATCTTTGAACCTTGATCCGTCGGAAAGTATGTTAATTTTTTTTTTAAATTTGAACACCACTAGTTCTACTTTTTATATTAAACATATGATACAGTGAAAAAATGGTACCTACGATATTATTATAAAAATAAATATAAACGTTATGTAAGAAAATATCAGTTCGGAATCAATGTATGTTGCAACATGAACTTTGGTTCTTAGATTAGGTTGAGTACATCTCGATTTTCCGTCCAGTTGAATCAAATTTAGAAACAAATTAAAAATTAAAAAAAAAATAGGTGACTAAAATCTGATGATAACATATGCCCAATCTGATTAAAAACCCGTACATGACAATTTTCTTTTATTTGTTATCGAACCTATTGTAAACTTGTGATATTTGACACTTACTAATTTAAAAAAATCTTTTTCCAGAAAATGACAAGTGTTGTACTTAAAAACACGAACTTACGTATCTAGATTTCTTAGACAGGGGAAAAATAGAACAAGCCATCTAAAAACAAATAAATGATAATTTCGATATGCTTTGTCAACTGTGATGATGATTGATTGTTTGCAAGCTTGAAACCGAAATTTGTAGTGTTAATCTTGTTCTAAATAATTTATCGTTTTTGAGTTATTTGTAGCGATTTGAATGTAAAATCTCTGTTTACTGCAAAAGTCTGTTTGTTTTAAATTTTTGCATTTTTTCTAAAATCAGTCGCATAATGGGCATCAGCATTTGATAGGTATTAACGGAATGAAGAAAATTCTAGGAAACGGTAAAAATTCTTTCTGATTTTTAATTTAATCCTTATCCTATCAAGTTTACATTACTTGTAATCTATTAAAAATGGATGTGTTGTTAGCTGTAGCAATAGAATTTCGAAAACATTTTTTAGATAATTTTGATGTTTTACCTTGTTTTGATAAAACACAATGCACCAGTATAACCAAACAAAAAACATTTTTTAACAAATAACTTAAATTTGATTATTTTTGTAACAGTCACAACTACAAATATATATTTATTTTATTGTGAATAATGTAATAATTTTTGAAGGGATTTAATAATATTTAATAATTTATTTTATTAAATATTTATACGTTTACGAATATTTCCCAAGTGTACTCCAGGAAGGTGTGGTAATAGGTTCCATATGACAAATATGTACCGTGAAAGTCGGTTTACGGCTATGGTGTGACGAAAACCAAGATGTCAACAATTTTTTTTTATTTTTCTCTTCCAAAATTTAATGTTTTCTTAGTTGTTGTTAAAATGTACCATTTTAAACGTGTTTTAAGTTCTTTGTTGTGAAAAAATGACTACGTAGATGTATTAATAAAAAAAGAAAATATAAGCCCCGCCCACCCACCCGATCTCAATTGTGATGAATTTTTTGTATTCGTCGTAAGCCGAGGGGCGGAGCTTAATTGCAAAATCCTTATTTTTTTTGTGAAATATGGCCTTGTTGTTCAAAGGAACCTAAGTGTATTAAGGAAAAAAATAGCGAAATGATAAGCTCCACCCTTCCGTTTCGATCTCAATCGGGATCAATCTCTCATTCGTTGTCAGGCCGAAGGGCGGAGCGTAATTACAAAATCGATATTTCCCTATAAATTTTACCATTTTAAACATGTTTTAGGTTTCGTGTTATGAAAAAAAAAATAAAAAAAACGCATTTCACTTTAGACCATTTTTTTTGTATTAAGAACATTGTTTTTTTCTTTAATAACAAAATGCGAAAATATATTTGTTTGCATTCCAAAAATTAGACAAGTTATCAAAAAAGTGGAAACAATCGTAAATAATTATTGTGAACGTCGGCCGTTACCGCTTCCTGTTCTGAGTTTATGGTTTCTTGGAAAAATGCGTTTGTGTCGATGCAAAATTTAGTCCTCGGTAGCAGAGCAGCCATTAACAATTCACTGTTTTCTCTGATATTTTAATGTGAAAGTATGGTTGTTGTAAATGACACCTTATTTAGAATTGCTACAGCATGACTCAAAAAAAATTATGAATGAAGCCATTTTATTGATTAAATCAAGAATGGTTCACCGAATTTTCCAGGAAATTTAGGAATATCGTATTGTTATTGTTAGTATTACACCCTACATTTTCAAATTGACATTTGTGTCCTTGTTAGAATGGTGATGACGTCATCACAAATTTTGTAATGGAACAATTCATTGAACATTTACTGCACACATATTATTTTATAGCGGTTATCATAAAAAATAAAATTAGCAAAATCAAATTTTATATTTTTTGGAAAAGTTGTAACTTTTGTGGCAACAACCTTTGACCAAGTTTTTTATCCACTTGTAGGCAATCTTATTAGCTGATTATTTTTAAAGCTTTTATAAGAAAGACGGCTATTAATACTAAAATTAAGCTTTTTATCTCGGATTTAATATAAAGATTTAAATCTAATTTCATTGATAAAATTTTAAGTTAGCATTCATTGTTTTATAAAAATTTTAAATACGCTTATCTGTTAAACCAATGTTCACTGTCTCAAAAAGATAAAGATTTACCACAGTCCTGAACCCAACTCACCGATTGTTCGTTTATTGAACCTTTTAAATTGCAAAAACATTTATTACTTTTTAACAACGTCAGCTAACTCTTAAATGAGGTATCCTGTATACAGGGTGATTAAAAAAATCTTTTGGTCCGAATGTAGAACTTCATTTTTCTTTCAGATATTTAACCATATCACTCGTTTTTTTTCCTGTAAGTACGTATCACATCTTTATCTATATTTTTCTTTATTTTATAATAAGATTACAAAAATTTAAAAAAATTGTTCAGAATGTATCTGACAACACCTTCTGCAATATAGCTATATAAATCGATATTTTGTTTTTGTAAATAATTTCTCTCAAATTTAGACTTGTAAACTTTAGGTAGGTACACCCTGTATAAGTAAAAAATTTAATAAAACTAAATCAAAACAAACTTTTTGTTTCTTATTAAACTAATTATTCTTTACTGACATCTATACAATTTGATCAGCATTTTTCCTTTGAAAACATACCTATTAGTTGTTTTATATAATTTTTTGACAAAAAGAAATGCTAAAAGTTGATATACCTAATGATTATTTCTTGTATATACAGATTTGTCTCCCAATACCTATTAGTCGTCTACCAATCACATTCTAGAGTAAGTATAGGTATATATGATACAATTAACACGTTTCTGGATGTTAGTGTCATTGGATATTGACATAATCGAGTGTAGTGTATTTGCAAATGGGATACACCAATATACAGGATGTTTCCTTTTTATAGAAGGTTTTAACAATTTCAGCAATAATAATACAAACACAACTCATTTTCAATTCGAAAACAGAATTTGTTATTCGTGTTGTTTTAATTACCCGCCAATTCTGTTTCGTCTTTATTTATGGTAAAATATTTCTAAACCTCATGTTTTTCCCCAAATACTAGTTTTTCCGCTTCAAAAAAAAAAGAGGAAATCTTTTTGAACTCTGTCAGATAAGGATACTTAGAGGAAGGAAATTTTTACTATGTTATTTTTACATTTCAACCTATTCAGATCACAAACCTGAAATAAACATTTGAACTATTTTTTAACATTAAGAGTTATAAAAGTTATAAAACTCTCTCTAAAGATTAATGACATCATTTTTTTTGGAAACGGACACAGAGAACCACTGATTTCAAGACTTCAGCAACCGTAAACTTCAAACTGAAATTCTCCTTTACGACTTCTACATTTATGTGTTGCAAGATAGTGCTACTTTTTTGTATAATTCATTTAATTCCAGGGTTGACTTAGTTCTTAGTTTTTTCCTAGTTTCTTATTCTTAAACCGGAACTAACCTGTCAAGTCCGGTAACCTCGGGTAGAACATCCCCGTCCTGGCCAGCCACTCCAGCTGCATCTGGTGCAGTTGACTGTGGTTATGGTGGTTAACAGGCAACTGCACCTTCTGTATCATAGCACCATCTAAACTGTGGAACGCAGAAGCCTGCGGTTGAGCTTGGTACCCGTAAAAATTGCCCCCATTCGGGTAAATATGGTTCAAAAGTCCCGGCCTTGGCACGAAAGCGGTTTGGGGCACTTCCTCGCTTCCTGGTGAAATCGGAGGACTTCGACTTCTTGTAGATGTCGGCGATATACTTCGTGAGGTATCGGGCGACGTCGGCCTATCATCGGTCCGCGAAAGAAGAGCATCTATACAGAAAGAACCCTTGTTTTCCTGGATTTTCGTGTCCATGTTTAGAGGTTTCGACTGGTAAGAGTCCTGATGATGCACCAAGTGCGCCTCCTCCACATACTGTGCCATCTCGCAGTCACAGTCACCACACACAGTCAAAAACAATCGTTACAAGAATTTAAACTCGTCCATGGTCGGTGTGTATTTATCAATGGGTGGCAGGTGATAATCGCTCCAACGCCAACTTAGCAGCAGCCGAGCTGTACATAGACTAACCGATTTGAAATGTATTATCCTAATAATATCATGCATTACAGCGACATTAGACGATACATTACACACACTCGAGCAGTGCGCGGAAATGGCGCAGTGTGATTGGCGGGAAAGTTTCGGGCCACGCCTTTTACCCCCGCAGTTGCGTGGCAACCACCGCGTCCGTTTCAGGGGACTTGCGACTCTGTGTGTTGGTACTTTTGTTTTGATTTTGTGTCAAAGTCGCAGGAGCGGGTCCGATTCGGGATATATTTCGGCGAGAGGTAATTTATTTTTGTGGTTTTTGCAAGTTGTTTCGATTTGGGTTAATTGTAGCTTGTTTTTCGGCCTTTATTGTAAGGCCGAATGTGTTGGAAAGTTATTTTCTCTGTCGATAAAACTGATGAGTTATGACGCGTGGAGGGGAGGGGTGGAAAAATTACTTTTGTTATAAAGCGGGGGATGCAGCGGTGTGCGGTGCGGAGAAAATTAATTGCGAGGGGGCTGGTGATGAGCACGAATTTTTTTTGCGTAATCATAACACTAAATTACCTGGTAGTAAATGGTCTGCGCAATTTTTATCGAAAAATATTTTTAATTTCACTATGTTGTTTTAAATAAACAGTAATAATATAAAAATTTATTTTTTAGTTTAAACTGAATTGTTATTACTAACACGTGTAATGGTTTTTTTTTTTTTTTCTAATGCCTATATAATATAAATTACGTCATATCGGAATAATTTAAAACTGAATTAACTCAATACTTTACTTTGCGCTAATTTGATTGATTATATGTGATTTAACCATTAAAAAAAGAAATCTCTATAGATATATATATCTCCATAGAAACAAATGAAACAGCTTTAATTGATTCGATTTACCCATGACGATGACGCTTACGTCAGCAGTTAAATTAAAACTACTGGCATAAGCATCATGGGTAACTAGAGCAGAATTTTAAAAAATCACCCTACATAAGTTACATATTTAATTTATATAAGACTTTAATTTATATAAGACGTGCTAATAAGAATGAATAATTTTTCAGTCTTACAATAGCTTGGTTACGTTTACCTACAAGAAAAATATTTTGTAGTCATTAAAAACCATCGAAGACACACCGACTTTAGTGTATGGTATTTTTTTCCTTGTTAACAATTTTTGAGATATCATCAAAATTAACAGCAAAATTTATTACATTTTGCCAACCAAATGCGTCATTTGAAAATTTGTTCTTATTATAAGTTCCCTATTTTTGTAAGTAGGTATAGGTTCTAGTAAAATTTCACCGAATCCAAGCCTGGTAAAAGTATAAATTATTTTTGATCCGGTGATTACTGATTACTGTAACTTTTTTAAATCTTTTTTGTGGCTAGATTTTAATGAAAAAAATCAACTAAAAATAATAATTAGTGGATAATCAAAAATATGTGATATATATGTACTAGTATCTCCAGAAGGGTAGAAAATGAAGACCTAGTAAGTATGAGTTTAGAGGTAAATTGTTGATTTTTTACATCTGTACCTATCAAGTTGCTTTAGTAGTACTTAGTAATAATTTTAAAATACGTACTTGGTAGATATAAGGCCATTTTAACCTCGGAATTTTTGGAAAAAAAATCAAAATGTTTACAATTTAACTTAAAATCTACAACACAGTTTGTTCTGAAATTTGCACACGCTAATCAGAATTCACCTACTAACCCTTTCCAAAAACATAATGATGTCATCTTAAAATTTTATTATATAAATCTGACTTAAAGTCTATAATATGACTCGTTCCTTAGTTTGTGGTCAATTAATATATCCATATTTTTTTGAACTGTTTATACAAGGTGAGTCACTAAGCGTGCGTTCCTCGATATCACATTAACTATTATTATTATTAAAAATAAAAAAAAACTGAAACATCTTACGTGTTTTTCCATATTCTGATTAACTTCTTCTTTGGTTTTTTCTTGAATTTTTTTGCAATGGAAGGTTTCACAAAAAATCGTAGTCGGGTTATTTTTACTTCCCGACCGTAAGCGTAAGCGTAAGTCCAACGGCCGGATTGCCACTTTCATATTTTCTCGACGAGTCATGACCTCTAGAGTACAAAAAAGTGGTTTCATGTTTCCGTCTCTCTCTCTGTGTGTCTGTCTGTCTGTCTGTCTGTCTGTTTGTCTATCTGTCTGCATTCATTTGTATTAGACACGTAATCTCCGAAACTGCTGGACCGATTGTTGTCAAATTTGGTACATAGGGTAAATGTGTACAAGAGTACGCACTTAGTGTAAAACTGTCAACAACTTTTTAATTTTTTTAGATACACAAATTTTATGATATGGGTTCGTTATATACATGTTTAGAGATCAGATATATTTAATTGTACGTCCCAAGACCACTATATCTTAAGAGTAATTTCAATTTTTGTCAAGATGTGTAAATGCGCACTCTTAGATAGTTCATTGCACAAGAGTACGCATTTGAACGCTTATGAGTGCGCATTACATTTTATGAAAAAATCTTTGTTTCTAAGGTGAAAATAAATGGGAATAAGTGACTACAGACTACAGATAAAACGGGAGACCTATTTCTTCGTACTCTAGGGGTCTTGAAAAGTCGAGAAAACGTAAAAGTAGAGAGTCGGTCGACGGACTCGATTACAACACGCTCAGGAAGTAAAAATAAAAAAAAATTAACCATAACCACCACCACACAACTTGAGAAGCAATACAAAGTAGTAGAGTTAAATAATTCATAATCGTATGATATGTATCTCCAAGACTATTAGACTACGTATTGCAAGCAATGCGCACTCTTATACAATACCTCGCTACGCACTCTTGTACATTTGTACATAACCTAATGTTTTCAAAGTTAAAAGCTTTTGATGGATAGAAAGTATAAAACTGTTAGTGTATAACGAGACCTTAAAAGTTACAGCTAATGAAAATTATTACTGTAAAATAAAAGAACTGGTACGTAGCTTACAAAAAACTAAAACTATGAGCGGTAAAAATTACATCCACACAACGTGTGAACATAAAATCGTCAGTACGACCAAACTATAAACTATATTCAGATCACTTTTGCACTTTTATCTCAGGTTTAGTATTAAATTCTGAATGGTATAACTTCATCTTACCCAGATGGCACTAATAAGCAGAAATCATCAGTGCGTACTCTTATACATATTCGCACTCTTGTACACATTTACCCTATGTTAGAAATATCATGTAGATGGTTAAATACTAACTAAAATTTGTCTAATTATACCTACTCTTGTACTTGTGGTATGTGAATCCGTGTCGAATTTTCACCCTAGACATCCAGAATTTTTAGAAAAAATTTAAAACTGAATAAGAATATTTTGCAATATAACTTTGAAACTGCAAAGTCGATGGCTCGGAAGTCTTGTAAATATTTGAAGGTTATCGTAATCATGGTAAATCGGTAAGCAATTTATTCTTTAATCCCTCCCAAAAAATTGATGACGTCATCCTGAAATTTTGCCGAATAATTCCTATCCAAAATGTGCCAAAATAAGTTTTACCCCGCCCACCCGCTCGCTATTTTCTCAGAGGGTATGGCGTTTGCAAAAATCAGTATTATATGAGCAAGTACTAGCCCCGCCCACCCGCCCCTATGTTCTCACAGGATATGCCATTTGCCAAAATAAGACTTATCTTAGCAAGTATGACCCTTGGAGCAAATAAAGGGCGGGTGGGTGGGGCTAGTACTTGTTAACATAAGTCTTATTTTGGCAAATGACATATCCTCTGAGAAAATAGGAGGTAAGATAAGACTGATTTGGCAAATGGCATACCCTCTAAGTAAAGGGTGGGTGGGCAGGGTTAGTACTTGCTAAGATAACACTTATTTCGGCAAATGACATACCCTATCAGGTCAGGTCAGAGCTCGTCAGGTTATCGACTTTTCAACTTTTTCGATTTTTCAAAATTTTGTTCCTTCTATTTTTCGATATTGAATTTTTCGTTTTTTACTTCCCGAGCGTAAGAAAATATATTAATCGAGTCCATCGGTCGAATTGCCACTTTCATATTTTTTCGACGTGTCATGACCTCTGGAGTACGAAAATCGTGGTTTCCCGTTTTCGTCTGTCTGTCTGTCTGTCTGTATGCATTTAAATTAGATACGTAATCTCCGAAACTGCTGGACCAATTGTTGTCAAATTTTACGCATACGTTAGAAATATCATCTAGATGGTTAAATACTAACCAACAGTTGGCTAATTATCCCCACTAACAATTTGATGACGTCATCTTCAAAATTTATAATTAAAAGTTTTTTAAATTTTATAAAATAAGATAGTCCTGTACTTATGGTGTGTGAATCCGTGTTGAATTTTTACCCGACACCTAGAATTTTTAGAAAAACTTTAAAACTGAATACAATAATTGTAATACTTATAACTTTATTTACCCCTTCTATATTTTCCCAAAGGATATGGCATTTGCCAAAATCAGTCTTATCTGAGCACGTACTAGCCCCGCCCACCCGCCCCTATTTTCTCAGAGGATATGTCATTTGCCAAAATAAGACATCTTAGCAAGTACTAGCAAGTACTACCCTCTGAGAAAATAGAGGGCAGGTGGGTGGTGCTAGTAGTTGGTAAGATAAAACTGATTTTGGCAAGTGACATATCCTCTAAGAAAAGAGAGGGTGGGTGGGTGGGGCTAGTACTTGGTAAGATAAGACTGAGTTTGGCAAATCACATGTCCTCTAAGAAAGAGAGGGTGGGTGGGTGGGGTTAGTACTTGCTAAGATATGACTGATTTTGGCAAATAATATATCCTCTAAGAAAATAGGGGACGGGTGGGCGGTTCTGGTACTTTGATTGACCTGATTTTGCCCCTATTAATCTTGTAAAAACTTGTGAAATTTAAAGGTGTTAAATTGCAAATTTCAGTAGTAACGAGTTAAATTCCTAAATCTAACCGAAATTTGCAAAATATGATGAGTTTTTACTTGTGATTTATCAATCCATTCGTATTTTTCAGATTTGCTTAAACAGGTGGC